ATTTTTTTTAAACATGAAAAATTTGTAAAATAAGAGAGTTTTTTCAAATTATTAATGAGAATTAAACTCGAACCAACTATTTCCAAAACTGAGAGACGTATCATTGCCGAAGTCCTGGTTCTTGTGCCTATCTTCTTGTTCGCCGGCAACACCAAAAAACGCATCATGTGGTGACACGTTCAATCTACGAAATGCACGTTAGCCCGACCGTCATGACAGCTCACCTACATCTTTTAAATAAAAAAATAAATGAAATTTAATATAATCAAATTTTAAATTAACCAAAATTCATGGTAGTTCTAGATCCTAAATTTCAGTAAAAAAGATTTGAATTCTTAAACCGATTTAGAGAACAATTGTTGCTTGTCTTTAAATTAGACCTGGTAAACGGGCGGATTGGGTTGGGTTAAATTAGACCTGGTAAACGGGCGGATTGGGTTGGGTTAGGGTCGGGTAAGAACGGGTAACAGGTCAAAACGGATTGGGTTAAAATGGATCACGGATTAATGAAGGCAAACCTTAACCCGCCCATCACGGGTTACGGGTCAACTCGCGAGTTGACCCAATTAATTTTTTTTTTCTCTATAATTTGTACCTATTATCATTTAAAGAAAATTATTCAAAAGATTTAAAAAAGAAATTTAACATCTTATAAAAATAATTTTTTTCATTAATTTAATATATACATATTTATAATTTCTCATAATCACCTTCTTTATTTCCTTTTAAAAAATAACGCTAATCAAATTTAAGAACACTACACTTATAAATTTCAATAGTAAAAAAAATAAAAAAGCAATAATAACATGACAACCAAAAAACACAAACCCCATTGGAACATATTTGTTTTAGTCATTGCTTTCAAAAAATAATCAATTGAATGCATCTAAGTAAGCAAAGGAAAAAATCAAGTAAAATTTTTACTTGAAATAAAAAGAAAACTCAAAAGCATAAATAAGTAAACAACTTACTTTGAAGTCTTTAGAGAGAAAAGTTAGTGACAAAAAGAGCACTTAACGGACTCATAAGAGAAAAAAAGAAAGGGCTGAGTAGACGTAATGGTGACTCGATAAAACTAAGATTTAAGTCTAAGATGATGTTAAAGACTAAAAAAAAAATGTGGAGTCAAAACTTGAAAGTTAAAGGCTATATAAACTATGGAGGTTGAAAAATATGAGAAGAGTTTGAAGTTTGAAGAGTTAGAGCCTCCAAGAGTATTAGGGCAAGTAAGAATAGGAAAAGTTGAGAGGTGAGTTATGACTAGAGTGGGATTATTTTTACTTTTAGAAGATGATGAGTCAAGAGAATCAATTAGTTAATTAGGAAATATTAATCAATTATTAGAAGTTTAGGTGGAATTGAGAATTAGAAAACAAAATAAATAAATAATAAATTTAAAAATTTTAAAGTTTTAAATGAGTAAACAGATCAAACCCGTTAACCCAATAGATCAACTCATTATTGACCTGTGACCCGTTAAGTTCTCTTAATGGATCATTAACAAATCATGAATCATAAATATATTATCCTAATCTATTTTAAACGGATGAATAAATCACAAATTAACGAGTTGAGTAAAAAATTATTAAGTCTACTTTAAATACACCCTTGCTTCCCCCTAAACAATTTTTCATTACCTATCATCATCTGTCATCCATCATGTGATTGTGTGATGTGAATCGCACGCCATACTCACCTTGAAAGCAAAGCTGCAACCGGACGATGCTGTCACACTGCTTTCCTTAGATTTTTTATTTCTTTTATTTCTTTTATTTCTTTTCTATATATACGTAAACACGCTTTCGCTTCCAAAAAAAAAAAAAACACGTTTTTCGCTGTCTGCACTAAACGTCTAAAGTCTCCTTCCACTTTTCTAATGATTTTTCCTTTATGAAAAAATAAAGTAATAAATTAATACTGATCTTGTATTACAGGTTACAACTATAAATATAATTTTTTTAATTTTTAATCTTTTTTTATTTCCGTTTTGGGAATATTAATTAATAAATTATTTATGTGCATCAGCTTTATTTCTTTTATTCAGAGCACCTTCGTCGAAACTTCTCTATTTCGTACATTGTCTGCTGTAGGGGTTTTTATATTCGGTTTAATTCGATTGATTTGATCTAAACTAATCCAATTTAATAAAAAGTTGATTTAAACTGATATAAAATTAAATTGGTTTGAATTTTAAAATTATAAAACCAATATAATTGATTTGATTTGTAATTTTACTTTCAAACCACTCGAACTGTCTGGTTACAAAATAAAATTTGATTAGAAAATAATTTAATTAAATAATAAAATATATTTTTTGTAGTATTTTAAATTTTTTTTCTTATTTTACAAAATTATAACTCCATTAACTTAATTAAAAAATAAAAATAGAATAT